CACTAGCATTTGATAATGTTATCATCCCATACTCCATCATGAACTGAGCCAGGATAATTTGTTTCTTTGATTTCCAAGATATAACTCCTCTAGCTATGGACTACATAACCACTAGTTGCTTTGGAATCATCTGATAAGGTATTATATTCTGCATCATTGTATCCTTCAAGTACAACAGGAAAACTCTGATAATGTAAGCTGATATTCATGGTCCTTTTAAGGTACCACATGACTCACTCAATAGCTTATCAATGTTCATTACTCGGTCTACTAGTAAACCTACACAAAAATCCCACGACATATGCAATGTCAAATTTAGTACAATTAATGGAATACCTAAAACTTCTAATGATTCTCGCATATTCGGCTTGTCTAACACTTTCACCAGTGTTCTTAAACAGCTTCACGCTTGGATCATATGGTGTATTCACATGTTTACTGTCAAAGTAATTATATTTCTTTAAGATCTTTTCCACTTAGTGTGATTTATCCAAATAAATTCTTTACTCGGATCTCGTAATCTTGATACCAAGAATCACACTCGCTTCTTCGAGGTATTTCATATCAAAGTTGTTGCACAACAATGATTTCATATCATTAACGGAATGAATATTTGATCTAAATATGAGTAAATCGTCTACATATAGACATATGATAATGCATATATGATTCTCAATTTTTAATAAACGCTATGATACGGTGGGAGAACTGACTTGGGTGTTTTGCTTTTTATCGCAAATGTTACGGTTAGCAAGAGTCGCCACCGACTTTTCTTTTATCCAAAAGGAAAGGCTAAAAAGAACAGGAAAGACCTTTGAGATTATTTCTTGAGTTCGGGGGGTAGATTATGAAAAGGGAAGGTGTTAGAACCCTTTTCATCCATAGTTATCTATGGGCTCTTAGTTGCTTGCTAGATCACTTGCTTTTGTTTGAAAATATGTGCTTTGTGTGGTTTTTTGAAAGTATTTTGAAAAGACGTCATCGTTTAGGCAAACTTTGTAATAGTTCTCGTTCGTAAGAACGTATACAAAGTGTTGATCTTTTGAAAATGTTTCATGTTTGGAAAATGTTTTGAAAGGGTTTTTGAAAGTGTTTGGTGTTTGTTTTGAAAATAAGCAAGGAGGGTTTGATTTGAAAATGAGCAAGCAACTAGGAACAATCTACCTACTCAAAATTCTTTGTTCATTTCTTTCTTTCCTTTGATATTGCTATCTTACCATTGATTTGGTAAGAAGCCTTATCTTTGGATGTAAAGGAACGGGCACGGGTCATCGTATAGCCATGATAGCAATATTGTGAAATATCTTAGCAATTCTCTTTGAGGGACTAAGATCATTTTGAAAGGCAACATTTGATAGCGTCATCAATTGACTATGATCTTGTATTTTTTTATTTGTTTTTGCTAAGATATCCCACATGCATAACATGGCCATTTTTGTAAGGCAACAAAGTGGAATTACCCTAAGGGTGCAAATGTGTTGATTTACATGCATTGTTTTGTCTTGAATTAGGGTTTGCTATTTGTTGGTTTTAGTCTTTCCATACAACCCCTAATTATTAGCATTTATAAAGTGATAAATTGCGGAAAGTAAAAATACTAAGCTATTACATCATTAGGGGGGTATACAAATTTACAAATGAGGATTTTGTAAGAAAAACTAAATCTAATTAACCATTACAACCATATTGAATAAATGTACAAGAATTGAAAAATAATATACAAATGCAAAATGGAAAAAGAAATGATTTTTGTTTGATTTTCATGAAAGTGTTTTAACCTAATTAACTAAAAGAAATAATTAACTAAAATAAGAAAATTAAAATTAAGTTAGTAAAATAAAACAAATTTTTTAAGGTTTTGCTTGTGAAAAGTTTTAATTAAATTAAATTAGTATAAAAATTAATTAACTAAAAGAAAACCTAAGTTCTAAGCTAATTTTTAATTAAAAGAAAATAAATTAAACCTAAGTCTAATTACTAATTTGTTTAAGAAAATATTTTTGTGTCTTTTTTGGTTTAAAAGAGAATTTTTAAAATAATCAAAACATAATTTCTAATTAATTTATAAACTAATTAATAAACAAAATAAAGGATGATTAAAATAAACTTATTTTTATGTCAAAAATTAATTTAATTAAATAAAAGCCTAAATCTATTTTTTAATGATTTTTTATGATTTTGGTATTGAGCTAACCTGATCAGAGTTGGACCGTCACAGCTGGCTTCGAGCTGAGCTTGAGTGAGGATGTGGGGGGGTATCTGCAAGACACTCTGATGGTAAAGTGAGAAGCGGAATGAGCAAGCAAGTATGAGTTTTAGGTGTGAATGAATGAATACCTGACTCTCTTGTGAGAGAGAATATTTATAGCCCCCAGCATTGGGCCAAGGTCCCCACTATTGGGTCATGCAGAGGCCCAATAACGGGAATTGCCAGGGTTTACGTGTGTATGGAGTCCAGCAAGTGGACTCCCCCTGGTCAACTCCGTGAGAATAGGGCTGGACCCGAGATTCCCGGAGGGCAGTTTAAGATGTCTGTCAAGTGGGCCATGTCCCCCAACGATTGGATGAGGAGTTGCCCCACAGTCCCTAACTTGGGCTGTCTTTGGGCCTCTCGCTCGTAGGGTAAATGTAGGCCCAGTCCAGATCAGGAGCCCCTTAAGTTATTGTCCTCGAGTTAGAGGGTGATGACTTAAGTTCAGCCCTCGTTACCGAGGACTTGATCGAGGTAGAGGGTCAAAGTCCCCGAAGGGAGCGGGTCGTTGCCTGCGGGGGGCTAGGCTCGAATACATCGGGAAATATCATGGATAAACGGGGATCGGGATTGAAGGGTTCAACCGCTTGCTCGAGGGGACATATTGGTGGGGAGCCTCTACGAGATTTCCTTTAACATGCCCATCTCTTGGGAGTCGTTAGTTTGTTGAGCATTTCCTCGTCCTCAAGACGGTTAAATAAATGTACCCCTTCGTGCACTCTAGTGTCGAGCATTTCCTCGTGTAAAGTGTTTGCCCCCTAAGTTTGTGGGTGACATGTAGGAGTCGGGCATACGCTCGCCAGTCCAGAAGGGACTTCATGGTTGATAGTTGGGCCACGTGGCTAGTGCTTTGGGGTGTCACTCCTTCAAGGAAAAAGCAAAAGGTACCAATGTGGTGATGACCCTTCATATGGGATCCCTTGGGGCGTGGGTCACCTATAAAAAGGGGGCCCTTGGGACTCATTTGTCACCTTCTCAAGTTTCCTCTCAATCTTTTCCTTGCTCGCAGCGTGAAGCGGTTCTCTCAACCTCTCAGCTTTTCTTCGCTTGTGGCGTGAGGCGATCCTCTCAATTTTTCAGTTTTTTCCTCAAAGCTCTTCATCCAAGTATATAACCTCCCAACACCATGTTTCTTGAGCTTTTCTGGATTAAATGTTTTTACTTTGTTGTGGCTTTTAGTGCTTCTTATCACAGAAATATGATTCGATTCAGCGCCCCCACTATTTTTTGAATTGAAAAGAAATTTGTCTTCATAGAATTCAACATCATTTGATTCTATGACCACTTTAGCATTTAGGTCATAAAACTTATATGCCTTACTGTTTTCTGCATACCTAATGAATACACATTTATAGGCTTTACTAGCGAGTTTAACTCATTTCGGATCCAAAATTCTGACATAAGCCAGACAACCTCAAGTTCTCAAATAAGACAAGTTTGGTTGTCTTTTCTCTAATATCTCATAAGGAGAGAAATCATACTTTTTGACTTGGGAACTCTATTCAGGACATAACAAACAGTTAATAAAATTCCCCCTATAAATGAGGTGCAACACTAGAATTCAACATAATTGTAACAACAAGTTTAGTAAGAGTTTTATTCTTTCTTTCTTCTTTACCATTCATTTTAGGATAGTATGAAGCAGTCATTTCATGTACAATTCCATGTATAAAATTCATTAAATAAATTAGAATCGTACAATTTCTCTATCACTACAAATTCTTACAAAATCATTTTCAGATTTTTTACTAAATTTTTAAACATATCAATTTCATTCACAAAAATATCATTCTTCGTAATGGTGTACAAATCTACCCCAATGTACTGACTAAACCTTGCCTTATTTAAAAGAAAATCAGAAACAAAATTCTTTCTAATCTCAAGAACATGTATGACATCCCTTAAGATAATATTTTGTTTATCGATTTTGAATTCTATTTAAATAATATTTTGGTTATCGACTTTAGATACATTTTGTGTTCATGTCGTGAATATAGTCTTGATAATAATTTTTGTATTCATTTTGTAATTAAAACATGAGAAACATTGAAAATTATGATTTGGTTCTGCTGCATAAATTTCAAAAATACATATTCAACACATTTTCATATGCGTATCTCCGAAACAAATTAAAATAAAAAAAGTATGTGTGGAGATGTATCTCCAAAAACATAAAGACTTTTTAAAAATTATTGTGTTTCTTAGATATATACTCCCTCAGACTATTATTATAAACAAATATTCTGTGATCTTTTATAAAAATCAAATACATTCATTATTTAATGAATTTAAATAAGAAATGCCCTGGTTTAAAATCGCAAGGTATTAGTAACAAGATGTACACATGGATGACGTGACGTGTTATTGGCAGTGCAATTGGAAATATTTAAACGGAAAAGATTGGTACCCGCTCCGAAACAAAATCTGTTGGATACCACCACGAGTGACGCTGGTTTTCCCTCACACAAAAAGCAAAAACATAATCGCGCTTTTCATTTTAACAACTTCCCTTCCTCGATTTATTTATTCTACCTCAATTCCATTCTCTTCCGGTAAAATTCCATTCCTTTCCTCTATCAATTCAATTAATCACTTATCCCCTGTCTATGATTATTTGAAAAATTGTACTCTGGCCAATGATTTTCGCTATCCATTTTTTTCATTTATGCTTGTAATACTTGTTATTTCAATCTATTTGTTAATCAAGTTTTATTATACTTGTCAGGATTAGTGAGGAGAGCAAAAAAAGATGGTAAAATCACAACAGTATGATAGATTTTCCAAGGATTTTGTAATGGGAGGCGCAGCGGCCATCATATCCAAGAGTGCAGTAGCCCCGATTGAGAGAGTGAAGCTTTTATTACAAAACCAAAGTGAAATGATTAAAAGAGGACAGCTCAAAAGACCATACCTCGGCGTGGCTAATAGCTTTAAGAGGGTCTTCGCCGAAGAGGGTCTCGTTGCTTTCTGGAGAGGTAACCAGGCCAATGTTATAAGATATTTCCCCACGCAGGTCTGTTATTATTCATCTCATGACATTATCTTTTTTTTTCTTTGTAAATTATAAATAATGTTTCAGCAAACAGTTTATTGGTCTATAGGCTTTCAATTTTGCATTCAAAGGTTACTTCAAAAGCATCTTTGGATATTCCAAAGAGGATGACGGGTACATTAAGTGGTTTGCTGGGAATGTTGCTTCTGGCAGTGCTGCCGGAGCGACCACTTCAATGCTTTTGTATCATTTGGACTTTGCACGTACAAGATTGGCCACGGATGCTGTCGTGTGCCATGTTACTGGTCAGCGTCAGTTTAAAGGACTAATTGATGTATATCGTAAAACCTTATCCAGTGATGGAATTGCTGGCTTGTACAGAGGATTTGGGGTTTCGATATTGGGAATCACCATGTATCGAGGGATGTACTTTGGGATCTATGACACCATGAAGCCTCTTCTTTTAGTTGGGGCTCTTGAGGTAAACTTTTCTAGAACAAGCCTTCCATATTCTCTCTGTCACATTGGAGTCTTTTACCTTATTGTTAGCAATTTCAAATGAATTCATAAACCCTTCATAGATATATCCCTTTATGGTATAATACTTCATTTTCTGCAGGGGAACTTCTTTGCTAGTTTCTTGTTAGGTTGGAGCATCACAACTGTATCTGGTGTCTGTGCATACCCTTTTGACACACTGCGCCGGCGTATGATGCTAACCTCAGGACACAAGATAAAGTATAATAATGCAATGCATGCATTTCGTGAGATTGTTGCACTAGAGGGTTTCTTAGCTCTATTTCGAGGTGTTACCGCAAACATGCTTCTTGGAATGGCAGGAGCTGGGGTGCTTGCTGGCTACGATCAGCTAAACCATATTTCATCTAGACACAGCAAGCAATAATGAAGCAAACCAAAGACTTCTGAAATAAATGACCGAATCATGGTGGAATTTTCAAGGGAGAAATGCATTTTTGGACCTAAAAAGCATATTTACCGGTTAGAAATTAGAACGAGTATTATGGCTCTTCCTTTCAAAAGTTTGGTCAAAAGGAACACAGACAACAGTCTTGTGGAAATGATAGCAGCCAAAGGTACTTGTTTTTATCAAAAACGGAACTTCAGCCAGAGCTTTGAACATGATTAACTTGGTTTTAGGTCCTTAGATTTCACTCTCCCTTTTGTTAATAGCAAAAATTTGAATTTAGATAGACTTTAGTGCCTCATTGATTCACAAGGAAGGGAAATTGTATATACATATTTAAGACTGCAAATGCAGTTAACTTGTCTGTTCCAACGAATGCTGTTCATATGAGGTTTTTAAATTCATGGCCACTGGCCAGACTTCAATTATTTAGTTATTACTCTATGCAGATGCTATATCTAGAACTTGCATTGAATAACGTGTCTGGTAAGAATTTGAGGTAGTTTCATCTGCTTTCCTTTTTTATATACTTACACATTTTCCAAAACCTAATTATTTTTATATTATTTAATTGATGTTAAGGTAAAGCAGAAACCAAAACTTAATGGTGTTAGACCCTAGTGTTAGTGACTGTTATTATATCAAGAAACTGTTATTGAAATGTATAAAAAAGTATATGAAAACAGGTAGAACTGCCAACAACAGAAAATCACAAACCTGACCATACATTTTGAAAACCAAAGAACTTGAATACATATTTTTTGATAATCAAAGAACAAATATATTAATGTCCACGAAACATTGCTTGCAGTATGCGAAGCATCAAGTTTGTAGAGTATCTTCAGCTTTGGGCATCCTCTTCTTCTTCTTCTTGGTAATCGTCACCATCTTCATCAACCGGGGCATCTTGGTATTGTTGATATTCAGCAACAAGGTCGTTCATATTACTTTCCGCTTCAGTAAATTCCATCTCATCCATTCCTTCTCCAGTATACCAATGCAAGAAGGCTTTCCTTCTGAACATGGCAGAGAATTGTTCACTCACTCTCCTAAACATTTCCTGTATAGAAGTTGAATTGCCAATAAAAGTCGAAGCCATGGAAAGGCCTCTCGGCGGTACATCACAGACGCTCGACTTCACATTATTGGGAATCCACTCAACGAAATAAGAAGAGTTCTTGTTCTGCACATTCAGCACCTGTTCATCCACTTCTTTTGTGCTCATTTTCCCTCTGAACACTGCCGAGGCTGTTAAATAACGACCGTGGCGTGGATCTGCTGCACACATCATGTTCTTGGCATCCCACATTTGTTGTGTAAGTTCTGGCACAGTGAGTGCTCGGTAGTTCTGTGATCCTCGAGATGTCAGAGGAGCAAAACCCACCATGAAGAAATGAAGTCGTGGAAACGGGATCAAGTTCACTGCTAGCTTCCGCAGGTCTGAGTTCAGCTGACCCGGGAATCTTAAGCAGCAAGTCACTCCACTCATTGTTGCTGATATCAAATGATTCAAATCTCCAACTGGAAACAAATTGATTCGGTAAAGCATATTCAAAAAGAAAACAGTTCATATATAATAATAGAACATATGCGATCAATTATATTGTATCTTATACTATATGTTATAATTACTTACAGCTTGGTGTGGAGAGTTTGAGGGTTCTGAAGCAGATGTCATAGAGTGCTTCATTATCAAGGACCATACATTCATCGGAATTTTCGACCAATTGGTGAACAGAAAGTGTTGCATTGTAAGGCTCAACAACAGTGTCTGACACCTTTGGTGATGGAAAGACAGAGAAAGTGAGCATCATTCGATCAGGGTATTCCTCTCTGATCTTTGAAATCAGCAGAGTTCCCATTCCAGAACCTGTTCCTCCTCCCAAAGAGTGGCACACTTGAAACCCTATATTTATCAATCATAAAAACCAACATCTTTAATTATATTCTGCATATTATTTTGATGAAACAGTATAGTGTTGTGTCTACCAGAAGAAGTTTGGTTACCTTGCAAGCAATCACAATTCTCAACCTCCTTCCTTACTACATCAAGGACAAAGTCAATGAGCTCAGCACCCTCGGTGTAATGACCCTTGGCGAAATTGTTTCCGGCACCAGATTGTCCGAATACAAAGTTATCTGGCCGAAAAATCTGCCCGTAAGGAGCGGTCCGGACAGCATCCATGGTGCCTGGCTCAAGGTCCATAAGCACCGCCCGTGGCACGTAACGACCAGTGGATCCTTCATTGTAATAAACATTCACTCTTTCGAGCTGAAGTTGAGAGTTCCCTATGTATTGTCCTACAGGGTCAATCCCGTGTTCTTCGCATACCACTTCCCAGAACTTTGTTCCTATTTGGTTTCCACACTGTCCTCCTTGAATGTGAAGAATCTCACGCATTTTCAGCACTAAATATCTAACTAACTTAGCAGAAGCAAAATAGAAACTAAACTGATTTTTCAACTGTCAAATTATCTCCCTCTACCAGAGCTTGAACTTGGAAGAAGCAAAGGTTGGTTTGGTTGCATATTTATAGTGGAGGGTGAGGATGAGATCACATGGTGAATGGTTACATGAATGATTGCCAAATGTAAGTCACTGCTTGCAACACCGCCGGCCTATTCTACATTGCTAAGAAAGTCCACTTCACTTCACATCATTTTATTTGATGTAGTAATAGTAATAGTAACAGTATAGAATAAGGAATTGTATGATATGTGCAAACATCACTGACATAGAGCAACTTGATAATAAGATATTAAGTTTATTTTGGGTTAGCTCTTGTCACTTTTTGTTTATTAGTATATAATAATAATATAAGCATCTCTTTTGAAAATATCAAGGGTGATGCCACTTGGGAGGCCTAAACGGTGTTTCTCTTGTCCATTTTCATTCCATGGTGACTACTACAAGAAACAAATTGTGATGAAAGAGTTAAAAGAAAGTGACAGAGAGAGGAGACTGGGTTTGAGGATTTGGGAAAACAAGTCGTTATCAAGAGTTAGGGAAAAAAGCTTGAACTATTCCACTCTAGGCTCTAGGAACTCAATTCACAAATAAAGCCTGCAATTTTTGAAGAAAAAAACAACAAAGTTTTTTGAACTGGTTAATATCAAACAAAGCTTACATATACATAGCTCAACTTTATCCCAAACCTTGTCTCAATAAATGGGATCCGCTACCTAGCTCAATTTTTGTTTTTTGTTATAATGTTATATAAAGAATCATGCTTAGTTGTTTTTAATAGTCTTTTTAAATATTTCACATTCTCTAGTTGGTTAACTTTTCTCCATTTGATCTACTATCACATAATCGACATGTATTTTCTTTACATGTCAAAACCACTTAAGTCTATTTATCCACCATTTTTTATATTATAGGTGATATCCCAACACTTTCTCGAATATTTTTATTTCTAATCATATATTGTCTAGTCTTACCATACAACCAACGCAATATCTTCATCTATGTCACACTTACTTTATTCTTGTGTTGGTTCTTAACCGACTTATTTTGTCTCATACAATATCGCATGTCTTACCGCAGTTCGATAAAATTTTACCTTCAGCTTGAGCGGTACCTTTACGTCACATAAAACTCTCGAGGTTCTCCTCCATTTCAGCCACCCACCCAACTTAAATTCGATGGTTTATATTGTCAGAAAATTGGCTTAATCCTTTCTCATTGTATTTGATACTATATATAAGTGTCAATAAATACATGTAATTATAATTCATAATGACTAATTACAACTCGTAATGACTAATTTTCTATTCTATGAAATTAAATTATTCATAATAAATGCATAGATTATTTCCTAATTAACATACATCTCATATTTCTCCATCATTTTGTATAACAGACCTGAAATATTTAAATCTTGTGATTTGAAGGATAATAAGCTCTCCATCTTTTACCTTCAAGTTAAAAAGGCTTTGAACTTACATTTCATATGCTCTTTAGGAGAAAACCAGTCTAAACAAAGCTTAAATATAAATATTAAATATAAATATGTGGAATGCTCAACTGAAGGAACATCACAAAAGTCACTTTGTTGTTGTTGCTATTTAAATTTTAGAAAAGAGTAATCCGTTTCTCATAGGTACATCTTCATAACTATTCATTAACATGCGCGCAAACAAGCACAAAATAAGACGAGGGAAGATAAGTCCAAATTTTCCCATGAAAATGATAATGGGAATTTCACACTAGGATCTTGCTCATCCATGCAATTGACACCCACCCAGCTGAAAGAAATTTTTACCATTGAATTAGACTGGTTTCCAAAAAACTCCATGGATGCCCATGATGTAGAAGACATACGTTGGAAGTTACCATGCTTAAGTCAGGGACTTTTCAGTACTATGTATGTAGAGCAGTGCTTCCATATTTTAACAAGCACACATCATGTCTCTGGCTGGGACATCAAAGTTGTGAGCAACAGAGCATAGGAACATCCTTTACAGAGTTCTTTTTTATGTAGTTAGACCGTGTTAGCATCTAATCAACATGAAGTTCTGCTTCGGAATATCTGCCAATATTTGTTCTCAAGTTAAACTATTCCAAAGCATTTCCTGCAAGATGTTGTAAATGCCGATAGACATGTACAGTTAGACTGTGTTGGAATATCTCATGAACTTGATCTTGGATCAAGACATGCGTGATTTCTTGACAAAAAAGCAGCAAGTACCATGAGGCAAAAATGACATATTTCATTCTTCTTTAGCAACTGCTTAACACGCCCTCAGCTTGAATGAACAATGAGAATTCTTAGTGCATCAAATTCAAAGTGTTACATCCCCAGCAAATAGAAGGTTACATATCTTTCCCTCTGTCGAAAGATTTTCTCGAGAACCAATATTAGAATGTAGGCTCTTCTTTGCTTTCCTATGAAGTTCTGCTTCAGAATATCTGCCATTTTTTTCCAAACCAGATACTAATATATTATAAGTGCCTGATGTAGGACAAATTCCTTTTC